TTCCTTCTGGCCACAGCCACACTGAAGCACTGACAACTGTCCCTTTAAATCCAGCATGCCTGCAGCCAATGGTTTTATAGAGAAGTGACATCACCCACCAGCAGTGACGCAGACCCTATTATTAAAAGGCCAATAGACCTGCTCATTCATGGTCACATGACATTTGGGAGAAGTGCAGGGGGGGGGAGGAATAGGTTTGGGTTTTGTCATTGTACTGATCCTGCAGCTACAGATAAAGCAAGACTGCTGTTATTGGGGAAGAAAAAAAAGGAAAGCTTACTAATCCCATATAAGCATTGCATCTGCCTTCTACCTGGGAACAGAGCCACTGCAGATCTTTGAAACCGGAGAAAGACGTTTTCTATGGATCAAGGACGGGATGGCAGAAAGGAGGGTCACAGGGGCCTAAGCCAAATCCTTTATCAGAGGGAATCCTAAAACTAGCATCCTTTTCACTACGGACGGTCCCTGCTGTGCTGGCTGTTTTTGTTTCGTTCACATCGTGCAGAATTTCTCCAAATTACAGGTCCCACCGGAGGGTCTACGCTTCCTTTTAAAGCAATGCCACAATTGTTTCAAGCTCCTGCCACCTGATCCCATGGGGAAGCCAGAAGGGAAAAGGTGATTGTATTGCTAAAGGAGCCAACGCTGCCAAATCCTTAAAAATAGTGCTTAAACCTTTTTTTTTTTTCATCAAAGGGATTGCAAACCGTTGCCTTTAGAGGAAAAAAGGCGCACAAAGGGTTAATCCGGAGTCTGCCAAGGCCCTTCCATCCTATTAAAAATTAGGCATGCACTTCTCCGGCACGCTATACCGGCTGTCAATTTTGATTTCCTGAATACATTATTCTGCTGGATTGTACAGACCTCATATGTTCCACCTACTGCAAGTGCATGTTCTAGAGAGAATTCGGCTTCTGGGAATATCGGATGCTGTGCAAAGCTTGTGCATGTATTATTAACGCTATAGTCGACGGAGGGGATTTTTTTGTTTCACGAACGCTGTCATTTCATTGAAAAAAACCAAAACCCACCCGTCTCAAATAGAAGGAATCGCTTTAGAAGCTGCATGTCGGTGCTTTGTGATTCCATCACCTGCTTGTTTCATTCTAGAAGCTTAAGGAAGACTAACTTCTAAGAATCCTGCTGGGAGGTGTAAATTCCCCGCCTCGGTTTTGAAGGAGTTCAAAGCTACCCGGATATGTGCGCAGATTTGTGAATTTCGGTTATCTGGGCTGCTTGATTTAGAAGGATCGTGGCCTAATTCTGCAGGGATAAGTTTAGAGATTCGATACAGACAAGCATCCCGGGAAAGACAATTCTCGCCAAACGGAGCTAGCAGGCAAAGTTGGAGCTGTAAGTCCTACCTGTGGTTTTGGGAGTGGCCCGTAGTATTTGCGACTTCAAATCCTAGGGATCAGTATGCACGTGTGCAAAAGTCAGGGCACTACTGAATGATGTAGAAGATAAGGGGTAGGGTTAACCCTAACTCCACTGTACTCTGTGCAAAGATTTAGGGCTTGCTTACACCATCTCCAGGCAGTGCGTTTTTTTTATCTGCACCAAAAATACAGTAATGCCAATGGTTCTCAATGAGGCTAGTTCACACCACTGCGTTCAGTTCCAGAGCTTTCAAAAAAAGTACAGCAGCATGCTTTTGTTTCGCACTGGAATGCATAGAAACACATGTACACGCATGCGAACGCACCAGAACACGCTTAAAATCAATGTTAAAACACCAAAAAGCACCGGAACGCATCAAAAATGTGCATAAGCATGTATCTAGAAAGGCATCCAGAACTGGTCTGGAGATGGTGTGAACAAGCTGTTAAAGTAGATCTCCACCTAAAGGATTTATTTTATTTTGGGCGGAGTATATTGAGAGCTGGGATAATTTTTGTTTTGTGACCCTGTTGTTTAGTTTAGTAGGCCTTAACTCCTAAAACAGACTTTCCCCCACTACAATCCTCCCTCCTCCAACATTTAAAGCAGAACTCCTGTTAAACATTGTATTAACTCTTGCAGTGGGGCTACCCACTAGGGTTAAGTGCTTGTTTTTGTCTAGGGTTAAAAATAAAAAGGTTATACTCACCCGGTCCCTGGAGCCTCTCTCCCCCTCTGCTGCAGTGGTCTTACATCCCTCGTTCCATACACAGTATACCTGAAGATGCCGAGGGAC